TTTTATATGATTGTATGTTAGACAGAAAAACTACATAACTCATGGAATAAAATGCTAACATTTTAGACATAACAATCTCTCCAATCATAAATAAGAATTTGAGGGATTTTTTACGAGTAGTTCATGTAGATTATCGTTTGAGACTTGATAACTGGATAACTTATCATATGCAATAGCTCTGTCTTTAAAGAATTGTTTAAAGTTAAAAAAAGATCAAATGTTCAAGTAATAAATTCTTAAACAACTCTATATTTATTTAATAAGATATTAAAAATTCTCGAATAATTTTTTTTATTGCTTCCACTACATGTGTGATATTAAAAAATCATTGTTGGATAATCAAGTTTGTTGTTTGTATATTTTAATTATTCTTGGTGTTAATTTCAAATTTAATTTTATATGCAAAATTATTTTCTCAAAATTATTTTTTCTATTTTGATTTTTTAAAAAAGGATATTTTCTACTATTTCAGCCAATTCTGGCTGGATTTCTCAAACCTGGTCCGAGCCTGCCAAATTAATAATAAAAAAAAAATAGTTGTCATGGGCGATGTTACTTGTAGCATCCAGCATGGAAGGTAGCACCCCATGGCTGCTCTTGTCTGTGCTGGAAGCCCAGCGTGAGGGGCAGTCCTTCACGTTACTGTTGTCATTACCAACAGTAAAGAAGAAAGGAGAGTGGTAGAATTACAAATATGCCCCTGGTGCCTCTTTAAGATTTGGGGAAATTACCCTTTTACCCCTAACCTTTTTTAGTTTTAAGTATTAGACTTTTAAGTTTGCATATTGTAAATATGGCCTAAAACTTTGTACATAATAATAATTTAAGGTCTAAAGGTAAATTATGAATTTACTCTTTATAAATAAAATTTAGATTTTATATCCTAAATTAAATTAACTATATAATTAATTTTCAAGGTTAGGTATGAATTAAATTATTAATTTTTTGTTTAGTTTTATGATATCCTTGGGGATTGGGATTTATTTATTTAAACAACCATCTAAAATAATGAGAGTTTTTTAAGCTATAAAATTTTATTTAATTAATGCTAAAATAGTTTAGGATATTGATAAGAATTTTAATGTGATTAATTTTCTTATTAAATTTTAAAAAATATTTTTTTCATGGAATTTATGTTAAATATTTTTTTTTTATTTGGAAAACTATCAAATTAGATTTGATTTAATATTTTTAAGTGTTAAAAATATTGTTTTATAGTGGCACATAAAACCAATAATTAAAATTGAAACATGTAATGTAATTTATCATGATATTAAAATGTTTTTATACATAATAAATGATTATGTATATTAAAAATCAATGTGATTGTGTTTTTATTTGGTGGTTAAATGATTGTATTTTTTTTTAAATAGGGCATGTGTGTTTTGCCTTATCTATATTTTTTTTTATAGGTTGTGAATTCTTTACTCATCTAATTTTCCTAGAATGTAACTCAAAGTTTCTTTAGTTAATTATGTAAATGTCATCTAATATAAAAATTTAAATAAAATTCCAAAATGAAAAAAGAAATGATAATGAAGGTTACAACCAAGTTGCTTGCAAAGGACTTACTAAGAATCATTACTTAGAAATTAAATTGGGATAATTTAATTAAATATAACCTGAATAAAATATATTTTATAAATTAAATATTACAATATAGTTAATATATGGATTATATTTATAGACCTAGAAAAATAAAGTAAGTATTTAATTGAGTTAATTTATAAAATTATCTTGAGTTAATATATCAATATTATTCAGAGGACAAATTGATATTTTATTAATTTATAGGGTTTTTTAATTTTTTTATAAATAATAAGTTATGCTTCTTATATTTATGTGGTTGTCCATTAGAGAGGAAAATTATATAAGTCACAAAATAGATATTTAACACCTTAGGCATATTAATCTCTCTCTCGTAAATAAAGATTTAGAAGATTTATTACTAGTGGTTCATATGGATGACCATTGAAAACTAAAAAATTAAACGACTTGTAATTTAAAACAACTTAACCTTTATAGAATTATTCAAAATCAAATAAGATAATATCTTTAGGTAATAAATCTCAAAACAATTTTAAATCTATTTAACAAGATTCTAGAGATATATATAAATGATTTTGCAAGATAAATTGAGACTTATATATATAAGTTGTTGCTATTTTACTGTAGACACATTTACTGTTACTCTTCTAACATTTCATTGTAGATTATAATAGTGAGATTTTTTAAAAAAATTAATTTGGTTATTGAACTTTTTATTTGTATAAATTTTTAAAAAGATGTCATCAATATTTTACCCTTTTACAAAAATTTTAATATATGCCTTACTAAAAGAGGTCGTTATGAAATTTTTTTTTATTTAATAAATTTTATGTGTGTTGATTTTTGTTATGTATTGATTTTTATATATAAATTTATTAAACACAACCAGGTAAATAACTCATACTGCAATATTAAATATTTTAAACCCCATCCATCTCTTAATTTTTTTAATTTATCTTTAAATTATGATTAATAATTTTTTTATTTACATTAATAATTACCAATTCATTTAATTAGATACTTCCATACAATTTTTAATTTACATTTTAGAAAATAGCCTGCAGTTTTTTTCAAAGAAGAATTTACAACCGTGATGACAAGTGTGTCAAATAGCTATCATATATAATATTTTAATTTCTGAAGAGATAATATTTTGTAGATTTTTGAATGCATCGCAAGGTTTGTTTTTCCCCAACCTTTTGACCTGGAGACGCATATATTTTTTCCCGAAAAATATGGATATTTGCACGGGCTGATATCAATTACATATCTTTTGACTTTTTTTTTTTTAGTGTTGTTCGAAGCCCACGTGAGCTCTTAGGTTTTGAGTAGAGAAGTCAAATGGATATTTAATTATTAATGAGAAAGATTGTCAAAAGGGTGACATTTTTGGCAAGAAATTAAACCCGAGGCATGAGCCCCCATGAAGAAGAGCACCATGCATGCGGCTTGACTTTTTATCTGCCGGCATGTTCTAAGGGACATAGATGAATTAATTCCTCCTCCCTTAATTACCTCATGGTTGTGTTTCGGCGAGAAAAGAAACACACATGCATGTTAATTAGCACTTGATTATGCTTGTGTTTTTGTCACTTAATTAGGCCCTTGCAAGGCTGGTGCCTCGGGTTAATTAGGCAGGCACGTTCATAATCTCCCTCCCCCTAATCCCAGGCCGTCCTCTCTCCATCTCCATCTCTCGTTTCTCTTCATTTCCTAGCTAGCTAATTATACCAAGCTAGCCGCACCAGCTCTCTAAGCTCTCGGCGATTGTTAATCGAGATATATATAAGTTTATTCAGATACTTTGATATAAATAGAAAAAAAAAAAAAAAAGCTGGCTAGCTAGCTACCCTCCCTCTAATTAAGCTACCTTGAAGCAAGCCGATTGGCTAACCATGTGATGCATCCATATATAGTTGGACGTTGTCTCTTCATCTGTGCTCGCTGTAAGCTGTTATTACCCAGCACACATTAATTATCGTTGCAAAATTAAAAGTGGATCGATCCACCGTCCATGGCACCTTTTATATATATAAAACCCCATAAAAGCAAATTTTGCATGAATCCCTCCCCCCCTCCCATTTGCCAGAAAACTATATTATCTAATCATACGTGCCAAAACAGTAAGCTAGGTCTCGCCTGCTAGCAAAACAGTAAAAAGGTTATTCCATGGAAATATATTCTTCACTAGAACTTCAGCACAGCTCCCTCCCAGTGGAGATGATGCTTTATACCGAAAGTTTATGAATTTTCAATGGTTCACATTCATACAATATTATCCTAATTCTCAGCCACAAAAACTGAAATAAACACCCTCAGAATATAAGTATACTTGGTTGTATCCCCGCCTGCTGCATTCTCGACAAATAATCGTGTAGAGGTTGCGGAAACCCCTTTGTGTTGCTTGTAGATGATGCCGCCGCCGCCGCTCCTTCCATTTTATTCCATTAATGCAGTCAACAACTGATTTCAATTTGGATCAGTCATTGCATGGTGCGTCTTAATCGTGGGCTACTAACAGCTTCCATGATTTCTCAACCGTCCAAAAACAAAAAGAAAAAGAGACCACGCACATGAATGCATCTTTATATTCTATTTTCATCTATGAAAATATTAAATCATTCTCCAGTTAATCCCCCCGCTGCAATTCCAACCTCAAAATTTAACTTTATTTAGTATGCAAACCTTCACATCTCGAGATATTTATATTACTATTTAAAATACTCTTTCAAATAAAATTCCTGAGTTATCTTGTGATTAATTAATAAATTATAATAAAAATAATGATATTTAAATTTGTGATTGTTTGGTTATTAAAATTTTAATATTAAGTTAAAAAATTATTTAAATTAAAAATTTTAAATTATAAGATAAAATTCTAAATATGATACATATTATTCTTTAACATATAACTAAAAACTATTTAAAATTTAAAACTTGTAATGTCATTTTAAATATATCTCATCATAAAAATTTAAATTCTTAAATAATATTTAAATATATGATTTATTTCAAGGTTTATATATGTAATTTATATTCACTTTGGTATACCAATTACAACAATGATAAAAGGTTTGGCTCACAGGTTTTTCTTTGGTTCTAATTTAAAGTAACAATTAGTAAGCACATCTATCATTTGAACCGAATCTCAGGCATAAAATTCGATGATTTTAAATAAACAATAAATCACAATTTAATTATGTTCTGTAATCTTTGCTAATCCATGATGTCAAGACAAAATCAAGCATAAAAGAACACAGGAAGGAAGTAAGTTTCCAAGCTCGTCATAGAATTTCGGATCCCTGCTACAAGTAAAACTTGCACAAAAAGAATTAAAAATCAACAATTCCAAATAATAATAATAGTAGTAAATAAATAATAACCGCACCAGCAGTACTGTTGTATTATATTATATTTTATTAAACTATTAATATGGTAAATATCAACGCCTATACAAAGTTCGTGTCAGAGTTCAGACAGTCTCTCTGTTCTCTCTCTACATTTCTATCAAAATCTCTCTCTATCTAACGCGATCTCTTTTGTTCTCGTTACTACCTCTCAAATTCGAAATCTTTCTCTCATTTCTTAGATTCAGATTTTTATTGGGTCTCTTTTATTTTTGCTTCTTTCACTCTTCAGAGTTCAAACTTGGAAGATTTGTTGTTTTAATCAATCACTTCATCACTTCATCTACCTCTACCTCAGCTTCGATGCTTCATCGAGCATATGGAAAAGTAAGGGTTTTTCTTATGCCCCTTTTCTTTTTACTGATATTTTGAAGGAAATGGATCTGGTTTCGGTGTTTGTTGTTCGCGTCATGTTTGTTTTTCAAAAATTTAGATCTGTTTGGTAAAGTTTTCTTCCTTTTAGCAATTCGAGGTCTTTAGAGTCTGTTTGGTTCCTGAGAAAATAGGCGTGAATGAAGAGAATGTGAAAGAAACTGAGTGAAGGAACCCACTTTGTGCTCGCTCTTTTTATAGTTGTAAAAAAAGAGAGAGTAAAATCTGAGATTAATAATTGTGTTACAGATATTAAAGGAATTTGGGTTTTGTCAGTTACTGTATTTAGATTTGTAAGTATTGGAATGGAGTGTTTCTTTTTCTTGGAAAATTACATTTGATGTTTCTTTCCATTATTGAAGTCAAATGGATATTCCTGGAATTATACTTGAAGCTGTTTGTTAAACCTAAAAACTAGTCAATAATGGGTTTTTGGACTTCTTACTAACACTTTTCGGCTCTTACAAATGCGTGATTAGAATTAAAAAGATGAAATCATATTTATTCTTCTTCATGCAAATGTGTTATTGCAATTAAGTTTCTGAGACAGTGTTAGTGGTTTAGCTCTTGTAAATTTTATAGTTTTGGTTAATTTCTGTTATTTTTGAAGATGTTCAGTTTCTTGAGAGAATTGAAGATGGACCTTCAATTTATGTCTGCAGGTTTATAATGTCTGCAGGTTTATAATCTCTGAAAGTTTACGATATCACTCAAAACTTCCTTCCTGGAATGTTAGCTGCAACTTTCATGCAACTCCTGTAGTGAACTTCGTTGTTGAACGAAGGACTCGAACTTTCTAAGACATCAAGCATTCGAGGGTGTTCATGTGGTTCGAAACTTCATACAGAGATGCTATGTTGAATGTTTGATATCAGTATGGAATAGCTTAGGAAAAATTTGCATAGTGATCCTTCAAAACCAAACAGAAAAATTGAGAAAAAGATGCCTTCATGGTGGGGAAAGTCATCATCTAAAGAAGTGAAGAAGAAAGCAAACAAGGAAAGTTTTATTGATACATTACACAGAAGATTTAAGAGTCCATCTGATGGTAAGCTAAATGGTAGACCTGGAGGTTCTCGAAGACGCTGCAGTGACACAATCTCAGAGAGGGGATCTCAATCTCGAGCAGAAACAAGATCGCCATCACCTTCATCAAAACATGTTTCTAGGTGTCAAAGTTTTGCTGAGAGACCCCATGCCCAACCACTTCCCCTTCCTGGTGTGCACCCTGCAAGTGTGGGGCGTACAGACTCTGGAATTGGTGTATCAACAAAACCAAGATTGGAAAAGGGTGCAAAGTCATCATTGTTTTTGCCTCTCCCAAGACCTGGATGCATTCACAATAAGTCGAATCCAACAGATTTAGATGGGGATTTGGTCACTGCTTCAGTTTTCAGTGAGAGCTCCACTGATAGTGAAGATCCTGCGGACTCCAGACATCGTAGTCCTCTGGCAACTGACTATGACCTTGGGACCAGAACTATTGCTAGCAGCCCTTCCAGGTAAGCCTGTGTATTTTTTGTTAAATGTTCATTATTTGTGGGCTATCTGCTACCTCATTTAACTCATGCAAATGAACTGCATTTTCCACTGAAGTGCAATGGTCAAGGATCACTGTGCTACCGTCAGCCAAGTGAACTCAAGAGAGGCAAAGAAACCAGCTAACCTTTCTTTTGGCAACCATACCTCCCCAACGTCACCTAAACGGAGACCTATAAGCAGTCATGTGCCGAATCTACAGGTTCCAAAACATGGTTCTTTCTGCAGTGCTCCAGACAGCTATATGTCAAGTCCTTCCAGAAGTCCTATGAGAGCATTTGGCGCTGAGCAAGTCATAAACTCTGCTTTCTGGGCTGGGAAGCCATACCCAGATGTCAATTTACTAGGATCTGGCCACTGCTCCAGCCCTGGTTCAGGTTACAATTCTGGACATAATTCAATGGGAGGGGATATGTCAGGACAATTATTCTGGCAGCAAAGCAGGGGTAGCCCTGAATGTTCTCCAATACCTAGTCCTAGAATGACCAGTCCTGGCCCCAGCTCTAGAGTCCAGAGCGGTGCTGTTACTCCAATTCATCCTAGAGCAGGAGGGACAATCGAGTCCCAGACAAGCTGGCCAGATGATGCAAAACAACAAAGTCACCGGCTACCCCTCCCTCCTGTAACAGTTTCCAGCCCCTCTCCCTTTTCTCATTCAAACTCGGCAGCAGCATCTCCTTCTGTGCCACGAAGTCCAGGAAGGGCAGAGAACCCAACAAGCCCTGGGTCTCGCTGGAAAAAAGGAAAGCTGCTAGGTAGAGGCACATTTGGACATGTCTATCTTGGATTTAACAGGTATAAGCCCCAAAAGCAGATGCTTGAATTTGTTTGATTTAGCAATATTGCATGTAAATGCCTTTGATGCATAATACTCAACTGTCTACGATCTACAATTATGTAATTGCTATCCTGACTTCAATTTTAACTTGGAAAGATGACTTCTATCAGTTAAGTTAATTATTTTTTTGTGGCTTCTTTCTCATGATAACTTACATGACTGGATCCACTTTTTGATTGAATGCCATTTTAAACTATTCCTTAGTTTCCTAATGTTTGTGAAATTATTTCTGATTTTTTCCTTTACAATCGCTCAGTGAAAGCGGTGAAATGTGTGCAATGAAGGAGGTGACAGTGTTTTCAGATGATGCCAAGTCAAAAGAAAGTGCTAAGCAGTTGATGCAGGTAAGTTGATTATGCATTTACAATGAATTTTCCTGTGACAACAAAATAAAGTTTGTTGCTTGCCAACAGTTTTTTTATTGTTATTATTATTAAAACTTTAAATAACTTTGGAAGAAGTTCTTACTTTCAGTCTTTTGACAGGAAATTTCTCTTTTAAGCCGCTTTCGGCACCAAAACATTGTGCAGTACTATGGATCTGAGACGGTATGTCTCATGCTCCATTCTTTATCTTTTGCATGCAGATGCTATTGAATTTAACCCCTTGATATTTATATTGAATCTTGCGTTATTATACCATAATCTTTGGCTATTAGAATCAGTCCTTTTATGTAAGGATTAGAATGGCAGTCAGTGATCATAAAGCCTGATAGTGGTGCTCTAGAAACTAAGTTTCTGGTCACTTTGAGTTTGGACTTATTTAACTCCATAGTGCAATAAGTCGGCATGTAGTGTTCCTGCATTGTGTGCACTTTGCAATTTGAATCAACAATTGAAATTACTATATGATGTTTTGAACAGGTTGGTGACCGACTTTATATATACTTGGAGTTTGTATCTGGCGGGTCCATATATAAACTTCTCCAGGAGTATGGCCAGTTGGGCGAGCAAGTTATTCGCAGTTATACCCAGCAAATCTTGTCAGGACTTGCATTTTTGCATTCTAAAAGCATTGTCCATAGGTGAGTGGACTTGCCTTTGTTTGATCTTCTAAATTGTAACATTTTGTTTTCTCAACTTAAAACATTGTTAATATTCTCTTGCCTTTCCTCCTTTATTTATTCATTTATTGTTTTGATAAATATCTTGTCTCTTCAGAGATATCAAAGGAGCAAACATACTTGTAGATCCGAATGGTCGTGTTAAATTAGCTGATTTTGGCATGGCAAAACATGTAAGTGTGGGCATTTAGTTTTTGCTCCAAAATGAGATAAATTTCACTTTGAGCAGGAGCTGATTTATGTATATCTAGGGATTTGAATGGTGCATATGACAACTTGGCAGCTCTTGTAATCCTTTACCAGCAAGAAAAATTACCTTGTGAAGACTGATTTATTAAGTTTATATCATTTGGGTGCATGCACTTGGTGACCATATGGTCATATCCTGCTTGCCCAGCTGACCTAATCTCTGTTTTGCAGATCACTGGGCAGTCATGTCCGCTATCATTCAAGGGAAGCCCTTATTGGATGGCCCCTGAGGTCAGAGTCTTTTCTTGCTCGATCTTTCTTTCCTTATCATATGGTGTTCTCCATATTATATTAAACCTTCTTTTTCATTGTTTGCACAGGTTATAAAGTACCCAAATGGCTGTAATATTGCTGTGGATATATGGAGTCTTGGATGCACTGTTTTGGAGATGGCTACTACAAAACCACCTTGGAGCCAGTTTGAAGGGGTAATTCCAATATATGATGATATTTAAATGTAATGCTTTCTAAAAGCTAAATATTTTAGTTGATCCAAGGATACCGATGTGAATTATTCTAATGTATACACACGGTTCTCATTTATAAGGATTTCACAGGTATCTGATTATTTTTTTTCTTCTCATTGTCTGCTATCTTTGTTTTGCGGGCTTAAGGTTGCTGCCATGTTTAAAATTGGAAATAGCAAGGATCTCCCAGAAATTCCAGAGGACCTCTCGGATGAAGGGAAGGACTTTGTAAGGCAATGTTTGCAACGCAATCCACTACATCGTCCTACAGCTTCCCAGCTTTTAGAGCATCCTTTTGTAAAATTAGCTGCACCTTTGGAAAGACCTATTCTGTGCCTTGATCATACAGATCCACCCCCTGGGGTTTCAAATGGAGTTAAAACTCTGGTATTTCCTTTTTTCATGTTATCCATTCATTTCTACTGAGGTCAAGTTTCACATGCCATGATGTTGAACTTTATTTCTTTCCTTTAGTATTTTCTGTTTGTTTTAATTAGGAAATGCATCATGTTAAATTTATCTCTGATATGGTGCTGAAATGCATTTTTTGTAGTCCTTTGATGCCATGATAAATGTATGAATTTGTAATGATGCCTAACAAAAATTAGGGAAAGAAAGAAGTTTGGTTATTTGTGGAAATTGTCATCCTTTTTTTTTTTTTGTTTTTGTCACAATAGTTTTACAATCTGGTATAGAGTGCTTTCTCTGAATTTGTGGAGAGAAGTTTGCACTGGTAAGGATACAAGCAGAACATGTAGCAAAGAGGATGCATCACTGGATGGGAGGCTGTATAAACAATAACCTATATTTTTCTGTTTTGTTAGTATGTATGTGAGGACACCATTGGATTTCTCTCCTGTTAGAGAAGTTGATAAGCCAATATGTGTCTAGGGTTGAAGGTTACACAACCCGTATTCTTCTGCTTTTGTTAGAAGCATGACATGGGAGACACCTTTAGATCTGTCATCAAAGGCAGGGGCAGGACGAAAACCATAAGATGTTTTTGTAATAAGTTAGATTGCCTTGCAATGTGCAGTAAAGATTTGTTGAAAGAGTTCATGGAGACGAATTGGTTATTTGATGACCTGGAAATGCATGTAAAGGTTAATTGTCACAGAACACCACTTATAGAAGAAGATCTGGGTGTAGTTTTTGATAATTGTTTTTTCCCATTTAAATTTGGATTTCTGACCCATTCAGCAACTTTGGAACAAATTGGTGAATTTATAGGAAGTTAACTAATGCTTCATGACAGCTACGGAAGTGCTCTTAATGTTGTAAGACAGCAAGACCTGGAAGGAGCAAATGTCTGCTTGAAAGAATGTAGAAATAGTTCCATTTATGAGAAAAGGATTAGTTGAGCTCTCCTAAAATCTGTGATGAAAGGCTGAGGTACATGTAGTGGCAATACATCTTGCTTGTAGAGTGTAGTAGCAGTCTCTATGTTTGCGTGTTTTCATGTAGTGCTAGTCTCTTTGTAAGTGCCTTGATTTAGGTTTGCATGAAATCCTGTCGAGGTAGTGCTGTTCCTGGGCTAAGAAGATTTAGCAACTTTTGACTGGTTTGTTGGTTAACATATTTTGATGCTGCTACTCTGAGATCTCAAACAAGCAGTTTTTCATGTCTATTGCATCATTCCTCTCTTGGATACCAGCTATGTTAAGTGTTGCTGTGTTTTATTGATAATTTTTCAGGGCATTAATCATGCAAGAAATTTTCTCACCTTGGATTCAGAGAGGCTCGCGGTTCATTCATCTAGAGTATCAAAAACTGGTCTACATACCAGGTATCTATCTCTCTTACAATATCACTGCCATTACTGAAATCATCATCTTATTGTCTGATTTCAATTCCCAAAATCTGTAGTGATTTACACATTCCAAGGAACATATCATGCCCTGTTTCTCCCATTGGAAGCCCTCTGTTGCATTCAAGGTCGCCACAACATCTGAATGGAAGAATGTCTCCTTCACCCATAGCTAGCCCACGGACCACTTCTGGCTCATCCACACCTCTGACAGGTGGCACTGGTGCTATACCTTTTAATCACTTGAAGCATTCAGTTCACTTCCAAGAGGGTTTTGGAAACATGCCAAATCACTCAAATGGCATATATGTCAATGGCTTGGCTTATAATGATTCCAGTCCTGATCTTTTTCGAGGAATGCAGCCAGGTTCTCCCATCTTCTCAGAGCTGGTTCCATGTGAAAATGATCTCATAGGAAAGCAGCTTGGAAGGCCTACTCAAGGGGAACCTTATGACGGACAGTCAGTGTTGGCTGATCGAGTGTCTCGGCAGCTTTTGAGGGGTCATGTGAAAATGAAACCATCCCTGGATCTAAGTCCCAGTCCCAACTCTCCTTCACCCAGTCGAACTGGAGGTATATAATCTAATAAATTGGTTGTGGGCTGACGGATCAAAGACTGACAGATCAAAGCAAGCTTTCAAGGTTTTGAGATGGTCATTTTGGTTCTATATGATTTTTTATTCATGACATTAACAGCTGTGGAAAACTAGCATGTTCAATAAGGGGTAGGAAATGTGGAATAAGGTTTAAGGTGATGAAGTGGCTGGGGGCAGACTGGTTCGTGTAGTTCCAAGCTTATGCATTCGGATCCATGCATGACAAGCATGTTAAGGTATTTGACAGTACTCACTCTGGTCGGATCTTTAGATGCACTGAAATGGAGCTTGCTAACTAGAGTAAGAAACTCGCTCGTGTGGGCATTTTGTGGTGACATGACTTGCGAACTTGCACGAACTTAAGAGCGCAAATCTTTCTAGCCCCCCCCCCCCCCCCCCCCCCCCCAATCCATTGTATGGCAGTGTTCCTTTAGTAAGGAAATTATTCATGGCATTGAGAACTGTATATTCTTTTAGATCATGGTATAGAAGTAGCAAGTACAATTATTACTTTTCTGGGTCTGAAACGGCTGTACAGAAGATGAACCGAACTGGGATTAGAAATTTGTTTTACGCAGCAGATGTGGATTTGACGAGCCTGTGCTTATCTGTTTCGTGCAATGGTTTATGCTGGGGCAGATTAACTGTTGTCGTTCAAACTGATTAACATGTATGTACCTTACCACTAGCAACTGAAAAGAATCCAGTCCAGGGATTTCTGTATTTCCTAGTTCTCATCAATTTACTTAATAATAAGGTATCTTGTGCCTTTCTACTTATCATTGAGTTACGAAGCCATTCAAATGATGGAGCGGATTGAAGTTTTTGTTCGTCTTTAGAAAGCATGAATGGTGTTGCTATGATTCCTGCGTTGTTACTAACAAATGTATATCTGCATTCGGTAAAGATCTGTCACGAAGTAGAAACAATAAAAGCTGCTCAACGTAAGCAAAATGAAAATATCAGTCAAAATTATAGTCCATCGATCATTTTTCCTGTCATCCAATTAACTTACATGAGAAGGTTTAAGGGAAGATTCAAGGACTTAGAAGTCTGCTGCAAATTTCTAAACTGATGCCATTGTGCATAAAAACATTTCCATGGCATCAACTTTTGCATTAGGATTTCCCTTGGTCCATTGCGTCCTGCACCTCCCTGCTGGCTACCATATTCCTCACTCCCCTTGACTATATAAACGTTCTGTTTCTGCTCAAATCCCACTTGATGCTCTTGCAGCAGAATAACATCAATGGTCATCAGATGAAGAACTTTTCACCAACGCTTTTGCTTTCAAAAGATTGCTTATTTTTGGGAGGAAAAAAGAACTTGACCAGTTATAATGGCAGTGTGTTACAAGACTTGGATTAATTGTCAGGAGCAAAGATTGAAAGAAGCAAGCAACCTTGTTAACAAAAACAGCAGCCAGCAGTACAGGTAACAGGAAGCAGCAGTTAGCAGTTAGAAGGGAATCACACGTGGCAATGAGTTAGTTGGCCGGGAGCTACTTAGCAGTTCGAATTCAATTAGAAAGTCAGTTAATGGCTGGAAACAGGAGAAAGGATTGTATAAATAAAGTAATTGTGATGGTCAAGCAATAAGAAAATCCAGTTTTTGCATTACACTGCAATTCTCTTTACTTATTCTGTTACTTTCTTCTCAAATTACAGAGTCATTAACACAGTGAGACCAGAGCCATCAATCCCTTGTGTAACTTTTGCAGCTATGGAAGAAGCTGAGAACCCAGATGCTCCTTTTTCGCTCAATTTCTCTCTCTTATCATTCCCACAACTTCTGCAGTAGCCCTTTCTTTGTGGTTGTACTCTCCAAAGGTCAGTGGACAGTGGCGGTTTATCCATTTCATTTCTGTTACGAGCTAAAGCGCGAGGCCCAGTCCAGTCCATGGAAACTAGGTCTGCCCATGAAGCCAATTTCGTTCAATCAATGATCTTAATGCATGCAAGCTCAATAAGGTTAGTTGCTGAGATCATGTCTGATAATTTTCAGCTTCGCACAGTTAAGAGTTTGAAGGGAAGGAGAGGGGAGGGCATGTCATGACTGATTCCTTTTCCAAAATGAAATACAAATGGCATTCCTTAAAATTCTTCTTCTTGAGAAAGTAGTATTCCTCAAGTGCATGGTCATAATAAAACATTGATATCAAAGACCATATGGCAAATAAAATATACCCTCATCTTTTCCAGATATAAGAATCCGTCTCAAATATAATACATTATTTTGAGAATATAGAAACTTGTATGCATCATTTATTCAACCAAATTCATGCTGAAATCCCAAAGTTTCGTCGCTAACCCAGCATCTTTAGCCATTGAGGATGCTTTGGCCAAATTACAACCTGAAAAATATTCACCTCTCACGCCCTTTACTTGTGGATTCAATGCCACATAGCACGTTGTTGCAGCACCCTGCAATCAAATTCAAGGAAAAAAAAAAATGAAATGTGAAAGTAAACGAAGAATTGGTAGGCTTTTATGCAATAAAGGTATTTAGTTTAGGGAACTTTGTCAACAAACTAAGTGCTATTAGGAGTTTTATGATGTAAGGCAGCTAGCTCACCTGCTGGACATTTTTTAGAACAAGCCTGGCAGCCGACTCAAGGAAGACTGAATTAAATCAAAAGAACTAAAGTTAAGAAGCTATTTTGCTCTTGAATTTAGGACTCAGTCCAGAGAAGTAGGACCCAAAAGATAACATAATCAAAATGTGAAACCTCTTATGGGATTGTCATCGGCAAGACTTGTATTATGACGGAAAAGATTGGTGGCGATTACTCCAGGATGCAGTGAATTTGCAGTAATGTTTACTCCATCCTCCTGATTATCAAAACAACCAACATTATAACTGATTGCCCTTAACGTCATATCTATCCATGCAACGTCATATCTATCCATGCACAGATATAGTGTAGGTAATCATCTACAAGCAGTTAAGAGGGTTTTTTTTTTTTTTTTCCCAGAAAAGAATGGTTCGAATCTTATTGTGGCTAAAAAAAAATGTTTGTCTGCATCCATAAAAGAATGTATCGACCTTCTCTTTTCACCATCAAGTACTTGCTGTGACCCTGTTATCAAAAAGAAGACCAGATACCTTGAATCGTCTCGTGAGTTCATTAGCATGCAGCACATTAGCAAGCTTGGATTGGCCATATGCCTGGAATTTTTTATACCTTTACAAGAGCAATCATAGAGACAATTAAAATCCTCCATTCAAGATCAATATTAAATAGCAAGATTATATCAAGTAACAAATTAGCAAGATTATATCAAGTAACAAATCAAACGTACTGAATAGCATGCATCAAATTCAATGCATGTTGAGAATGCCGATAGAGTTTCATGATTTAAGAGCTTACACATGATACTGGAAGAAACTGAGATGTTTTATGAAGGTTATTTCAATAAAAAACGTCATACTACATTTAACAATTATGTCTTGTGAATCACATCATACAAACACGCAAAACTGCCTAAAAACTGACATATGATAAGCTTAGCTATTAAGTATTCATGTTTACTGATAAAATGTTCAATCACAAATCATGGGGATTTGAAAGGCATTCAGCTAAATCATATGAAGCATGCACAATAGTTTAAAAAACTAAAGACAGGTCGAAGTATCACATGCATATATTCTCCATGCATAGCACTAAGAGAATTATCTTTACTACATCAACTTTGTTCTGCAGGTTCAGATTTCACTTTAAGACGTAAGATTTATTTCATCATTTAAGCAGAATAAATATAAAAGTATGTTGGTCTTCAGAAAATTGAAAGATCTAAAATGCACCTGCCAATATCCTGGGAGCAGGCATGTTTAAAAATAAGTATATCAAATTATGGACAGTGTAATCATGTTTGCTGACTAGTATGCTTTCAAGATTAGAAATTAATGCAATTCTGAGTGATTATAGTGTTACCCTGACTGATCATTGATTTTATCAAAACGAATCCCTTCGGGATATGGGTAACGGTGAAAATCTGAGGAAACATTTATAATTCTTCCTTCTCTGTTACTTTCATGTGCTGTTTTCTTCATAGTATCCAACAAAAGATTAGCCAAAAGAAAATGTCCTGTGGAAAGTATTAAGAGAAAATGACTTAGTCAACTCGTTTTTTGGATAAGAAATAATTAAATTGAGATTTTTCTATAAAAAATAATAATATTAGTACCCAGGTAATTTGTTGCAAACTGTAGCTCCATGTTGTCTTTGGAGAGCATGAATGGTGGCGCCATGATTCCTGCATTGTTACTTACAATAGAGAAGATAAAATCATTCATTTTTCTATAATTCAGTAAATTGAGAAGGCTCAGGCTACACTAAGAAAGCCATGCATGCATGAACACAGGCCATATCGTTCAATCATTAGGATTCTTTACTTTTCCATACATTAAGAGGTTCAATGGATGACCAGAGGAATTGAAATCCGATGCAAAATTCCTCACAGATGCCAGAGAACTTAGGTCCAATTCCATGGCATCAACTTTGGCCGAGGGTATTTCCTTAACTATTGCTTCTTTGACATCTCTTCCAGCAGCCATATTCCTGACCCCCATAATAACATGGACACCACGCAATGCAAGAACTCGTGCGGTCTCAGTGCCAATACCACTAGATGCTCCTAAAATCAGAGGATGCTTGTCAGTTCATAGTGCAAATACAAATTATTGAATGACTTGAACACAAGAAAATCCGTACAATACTTGTAGTCAACAATAAGAAGCTATAGAATATACCCATTAATAATAAAGCATGCAGATAGATTTACATTCTCCGCAATAAAGGTTTTGTAATCTTTCCAAAGACGTGCAAGTGTATTCATTTCATAGAATTGTGAAGAACTAGATCCTAAAACCCTGTCAGTTATCCCTCAGATGCTATCAGTTCTAGCATTATATACTAGCAAATGAAACGAACTAGCAAATTAACTGAGGCTTTTTGGGTATTGTCTCACCATACAAATACCACAACTAAAGCGCACAAGATGGAATCTGAATTCTGTAAGATAGAATCATGATTCCTGAATATCTACAGAAGCACAAACCTTTACCGCAATTTCATCCTAATAAATCTTGTTGAAATTTTCAAAAATCACCCCAAATTTGCACCAAGTGCTCCATGAATTAACATCATTAATCACAAACGGGACAGCATAGATGAGAAGTAAAACTTGAGAGCTATAATTAAGATGGCAATGTATCACTGAGAGATCCTATGTATAACCATAGAAAGATGGAAAGGCCTGTCAAACATGGAGACATTTGTTAGTTTATTAAATTACCGTCTCTTTCATCTATCAAAATGGACTCTGGACGTACTAAACCTAATAAATTCAGATAAGAGCCAATAAATCCCTTATTCTTTTAGCATCCATAAGTACAAGACAATACAATCATAATTCAAACAGAAAAGAGCATGTAAGACCTGTAACAATGGCAGTGAGGCCAGAGGCATCGACCCCATGAGTGACTTCCTCAGCCGTGGAAGACGAAGAGAACCCAGATGATTGTTTCCTGTTAAACAACCACATGATGGTTAGATGGCCTAAACTCAGCTAAGTGGCAAAGTGTGCACTGGCAAGACAGCATCAGTCTTTCTTGACTAATGACTAATGCTGTGGTGGAGCAAAGAGATAAAAAGTCCATGGCCACGCTGCTGCCAACTGCCAAACGCCAAGCCAGCCACCATCCTTTATTTGGCACCACGAAAACCGCCACTTCCGTACGCTGTCGTTTCTACTTAAATTGGCAATTTAATTAATCTGTCAAGGTAATAAGGATGTTATTGGGGCACCATAACCATTTTTGGCTGGGAGTTGCGAGTTACAAGCATGCATCCATCTCGATGCCCATTTGTTTTTCCAAATGTGTATAATGTACCCTAGACCCATCAAGCTCAAAACCAATCCATTATAAAGTCTTAGCCTTCCAACCCCACTGAATAAAAGAAAAAAGGCACATACGATGTAATCTACAGCAGGAAAAGCAAAGGGAAAGCTACATTTTGCATGATCCATCGAAAGATTAAATTTTCCTCGAAATTAATCAACATATTTGAACACGCACGCATCAATGATCAATAGGCTAGCTTGTTTATAAAAGAAAGATAGAAGAAGAACCTCTCCCTGCATCCAAAAAAATATTTAATTTTAATTCATTAAAGCTTCTCGTTAAAAAAACTCAAGCCTTAACACACATGGTATGTCAATTTAAATCATAAAAAAAAAAAAACAATTTTAAACTAATATGAAAATAAGTGTAATTTGGCAGAGACATTAATGTCAACATGCTAATGAATTCTTCTAATTCTAATACTAATCTTAACATTTATGGGCAAGGCATGCGAAATTAGGTAAAAATAAATAAATATTATTTTGATATTGGAGAGCTCACGAGGAAAATACAAATCGACCGCGCAAAACAAGAGAACGTAAATAAGAAATCTGGGAGGGGTAATAATGAAAACATGATGATGGACCGGTCGTTAGAAGTGAACCCAACGGCCAGCGGAAGGAACCAAGGCTGTCATATAAATTGTAAGCCCAGTTAAGGTAAGAAACCAGACAGCTGCAGTTAAAAGTTAGAACTACATTGTTGAAACCCTAACTAAACTAACTGAGAGAACAAGAGGGAGTCACGTGAGAGGCAGACCATCTTCTTGATAGAAGTCACGTGCACCACCCAACACGCAGCTCACCATAAACAATAGAGAAAGAAAGAACAGCGAAAGAGAAATAAACACCAGAAATTAAAAAAAAAAACTTTAAATACCAAAAATAAACCCTAAGCTAAAATCTTTTTTAAAAAAGAAAAAGAATGCAACCCAAAACCCTAAATTTCTAAATATTTTCCCATAATCTCTTGAATTCTCCCACTCGAGGTAAGCTCTTGAATTTAATCCATTGATGAATGTTATTGCTTTCCATTTGTATTGAAGCTTATTTTGATTGAATTTTGAATTTTTTTTCTTATTTGCATCCGATTTTTAGTGTGGGAAATTGAATTTGTATTCACCAGTTCGAACTCGGTTTTTTCTTGAGGTTATTTTTAACAGATAGTGAAGTTTTATTCAAAGGAAGAGATGCAGCTCTCTGTTTGTTTTTAATGATTCTTCATGCAATTGTTAAAAATATGAAATTGAATTTATCACTAGCTTAGGTGTTGGACATTCTCCTTCTCCTTTTCCTCTCTACATTTTTATTGCGGCAAAGCTTGTATGCTTCCTTCTTTAACAAAAATGGACGAATGGACGGGTTTTTTTCTTTATTACTGAATGTACAGTTTTCATTTTATAAGTTCCTGTTCTAGACGAGCTTAGGCAACTTTTTTTTTTGTGGTGAATTGTTGGTTGTCTTTTTAATAAAGATCTGGAGATTAAGAAATTGGAGAGAAAAGTGATTTATAGTAAATCTTTTCACTGGTTACTGCCATTTGTTCAATTAAGATAACATCACATGATGCTTGCTTCTCTTGTTTTTTTTTTTTTTTTCATGATTCAAGGAAGTTTTGTTGATAAGAATATGCTGATATTCATGTCGTTGGGATTCAACAAAGGGTCATTTTGGGAAGCATTGATACAGAGCCTATGTGCATCTGAAGAAGTTAACATTCTGACGAGGACACAACTTTTATTTCCTTCGCTTCTTTCTCGTTTTTAAAACCATAGGTGCAAGCTCTCAATTAGTATTAATAAGTTTTTTACAGTTTTTACCAGATGTCAGAAGCTGGAATGGCTGTAGTGAAACCCCAGGTATGTCTTACATAGTTGTGTAAATAGTTTTTTTTCTGTTTTAATTAGCTTTATTTTGTGTTCCTTTTAAATTGATTTGTATAGATGTAGATCACATTTCTCCTTCTTTAATTAGCTTGTTGTTGGTAACATATGCATCTTTATTGGCAATTTGTTTGTTTGATGAATAGTTACGCAGCAGGTTGAATATTGGAAAACTTTTAGGGTTGAGAATTATGATTGTACAAAGGTTGTTCAGTAGTTGAGGTTTGTTTAAAATTGGGTGAAAAAGGAACTGCTGGAATTTTAATTTCTGGATACACAGTACTGGCATCAAGCTTTTCTTTTTTTCCCCTTTCTTTTATTTGTTCATTTGTAGCTCCAATTTGCCTTTTTATTGCGTTCTTTCTTAAATTTTGTTCGGGTTTTCTGTATGAAGATGAAGTCGTACATTTGGCTCCAAACTGCTGATGGTTCTATCCAACAAGTAGAAGAAGAGGTAGCCATGTTTTGCCCCATGATATGCCGAGAAATTATTCAAACAGGCATGGGATCGTCCAAGAATTATGCTATATCACTTCCTCAACGAGTGAATCCTGCCATTTTGGGCTTAATATTTGATTACTGCCGGTTTCATCAAGTACCGGGTCGCTCTAATAAGGTCTGACTTGTTTCTTTCATTTTCTTCTCTACGTTTTGAGATCCTGTAATTCTTCTGCTTTCTCAGATGCTATCACTTCCCAGAACTCTGGAATTTTAGGGATTAGAGAAATGCCATCATCATCTCATATTAGATTTATTTTTTTTGGTGTGGTGTGTGTGTGTGTGTGTGTGTGTGTGTTGGAGGATGGGGTGGGGAGATGGACAGCATAGCTTGTGGATAGCCAAGTTGAGTAGTAATGTTATTTTTACTTGCTCATTCTTTTTCTAGGAGCGAAAAACTTTTGATGAAAAGTTCATTCGGATGGATACAAAAAGATTATGTGAGTTGACATCTGCTGCAGACAGCCTCCAGTTGAAACCTTTGGTTGATCTTACAAGCCGTGCGCTTGCTCGAATTATTGAAGGGAAAACTCCTGAGGAGATACGTGAAACATTTCATTTGCCCGATGATCTCACAGAGGTGTTGCCAATAATAAATCAATGCTTTATTTCTTTAGCCTGTGTGAGTGTTTTTTCATGTAGATTTGGTTTTCTCCAGGAAGAAAAATTGGAGCCTCTTAGAAACATCACTGATGATCCGCGAATCCGGCTTCTAAATCGATTATATGCAAGAAAGCGGAAAGAATTAAAAGGGAGAGAAAAATTGAAGGTTGTTACTTTTTTTTTTCCAGCTTTCCCAAGGACAACATTTTATTTATTTATATCATTTGACCCTTATTTGTTTCTGTTGGTGCATCTCTTAATTGTGTGTTTTTAATTTCTCTACAATCATTATAGTATTCAATTCATCATACGTACAAATGGATCTTGTAATAATAGCAAATGGATTTTTCACATGTTCTAGGATGTTGAGGTTGAGGAGGAGCGTGCAGATGACCGCTCAGTTGAGGATCTCCTATCATTTATAAATGGTGCAGATGGAGGTATGTGTGTGGATGTTTCTTCATTATCCTGTTGAAGATAGTTAGCACCTTCTTCTTACCAAATCGATAGCACTTGATAATAACAGGATTCTTCAGTCGCTTCAGACTTTTTAATGATATTCATGTTCAGCATATGGCTTCTACGAATGTTTGATTGAATCAGTACTTAAATAGTTATCTTTTTAAGGATATTCTGTTTTTGGAAACTTATCAAATGCACTGCCATTTGCAGATTCAAAGGGGTGTAGAACGAGTAAGAATAAAAAGAAAAACCGGAGAAAAAAAGATCAATCGAAAGATTCCTCCTCAAACAATTCAAATGAAAACCAAAAGAAGGTTTCAATTTCTTTCTCAATCTTCTCTCGTACATTTCATTGCTTCATGGAATTGCTTTGCAGTAATTGTGTCGTATTTAGTTTTGCATGTCATGATTATCTTGTTGGCACTATGAAGGGTGTTTTTCTCTCATTGCTACTTTGCTGTTGTTGGTTGATTTCTTAGGAGTCAGACACTCTCCCTGCTGCTTGCCCTCATGATGACGTTAGCGATATTTTGGCAACCTCTCCTAGTAGAACTTCAAATTCTCAAGACTTTGATGATGCTGGCATTGATGATGATTTAGATCCTGCAAAGATGGAGGAACTAGACAGGTTAATTATAATGCTTGATTATCTGATTCAGTCAATGAGTTCAATTTGTATCTTGTCACTAGCAGCATTTCATGTGGAATTTTGACACTGTTGAAACAGCAGTATATTTTAGACTGCAAAAGCTTGTTAAACTATATATTTCTTAGGAAGAGAGAGAGGATTCTAGCGCTCTCTGATTCAGATTCACAACTTCTCTTTTAATTTTCTATAATACAGAGAGGTTGAGGACTTTGCTCGTAGATTAAATTCGGATTGGCCAGAAAGGATGCAGGAAATATTGTCTTTGGGCCCAGAAAGAAGGCTTGTATCTATGAATGTCAATGGATCTTTGCGTAGATATTCAGGTAATTTTTTCTTCTCTTTTTCGTTTCTTTTGGGCATTCGCTTGTGTAATTTGGCAGCCTGGTCAGTGGAAGTTGTCTGGGATTTGTTAGGTGAAAATTTTTTCCAAGTCCTCAGGAATAGCATACATGAATCTTTTGGTCTAGATGGTATAGCGGACTTCCATAGGGCTCGATCCATTGATAGATTTTCTAATGTAATTAATGCAATATTTGATATGTATAACAGGTTTGGACCGGAGATAATGTGAGGATACTCTTGCCCTTTCAAAAACCTTCAGCAGCATGAGTGTTTTGGAGAAGATACTGCACGGGGTTCGCTGCTGTCAGATGCTGGAAGAATTGAGGCTGTTATTTGGTGTGTATCGCTCGGGAGCATATTGTTTGTTTGACCAACCAAAAATGCAAAATTCTTCCTGGGGATCCTTGTATGTTCGAAAAGTTTAGAAATTAGAAATGAAAAAAACTCATAGTGGACAATTTGAGCACAATTTGCTCAGTTGTCTATATTTTTTCTGCTGTTGGCTTTTGTTTGTGACTTTCAGCTGTTTTCATCGGTTAGCTCTTGTACCTTCGAAACATATTGCTTCCACAAATTTAATTTTTTTTCTTTCTATTGAATGCCATTCAAATTTTTTTTAACATTTACAGAATGCTTCCTGTCGCCTTCATGAAGATCTCCAACCTATAGAAGAAAAAGATTTGACGATACATAGTTGCTTATGTAACAAATCCTTGACTCCGCTCGTTCCTAGATGTTGTCTGGTGACACGAGTGGGAGTAACCAGTCTAACGGATACCTGAAACCGCACGACGGACGCCACCGTTTTTATCATTAAATCAAAAGTCATTTAGATTTTATTTTCCATAAAGTAATCAGTCTAGGATTAGACCAGTATTTAGCACACCAAAAGTAAAAAATACAGGAGCACTTGCAAACAATTACAGCATATGAACCTGTAGAAACTAAGATATTTTTATTTTTCTACTCCATACTAATGACTTATGAAACAACAACCATGGCAGATTTAATCCTTGACCTTGAATCCAGAGTAGTACTTCTTGAAGGCTCTAGGGATATAAACAGGCAACAAGAAGCCGAAAAGATTGAAGCACCAAAAGGCCAGGTTAGCCACAGCAAGAGCTCTACCAATATGGAGCCTCCAAGTAGATCCTCCATAATCCTGTTCCGCCTTTGAGATCTCATCCCTCAACCAATCCACAAGTGTGAAAATCCTCCTCGAATTATAAAATACAGGCACGAAAACACGAATTGGGATCGAAAACCTGTCAGAAAATGCCACTCCTTCCATGAAAACCTGAGCTGCTAGGAGAAAAACATGCGGCGCTGATGCCTTGATCCCTTCTTTATCTCCCTCGAAAATGCCTTCAAAGATGTATGCTATGGGGAGAAAGAGTCCAATAATAGCACCCACAAACACGTATAGGCGAAGAATCTTGTTTTTCGGATCGAAAACTACAGAGTCTCTAGGAGGGTTGGTGGTAGGGAATGCAACTTTGGAGAAAAAGTACATGTAAATGATGGAGAAGACAACAAAAGCAAAGTCTTCAGGGCTTACCATCCCACTCGCAGCAAAGACAGTCATAACAGCAAGAACATTTAGCTGACGAAAGCTCAAGAAACCAGCTTTCTTTGAAGTGGTAGTGTTTTTAGGGTTTTTCAAGGAAGTAAGTTCTTCTTGGAGCTCCTGTTCTTGTTCTTTTTCGTTTGGAAGGCTTATGTCATTACATGTTGGTCCGACACCACCTGACATTTTGTTCTAGTTTTGGCTAATTTGCAATTGTGTACAGTATCGAGAGAGAGGAAAAGAAATGGAGAGGTGAATCAGAGGAGTGAAATTTAAGAGGAGAGGATATTCGATCTGGTAAATAGGTACGAGGCAAGGAGAGTGTACAAGTGGCAGTTTGTGAGGAGCTTAAGGAGGATAAGTAGAAATCGTGGCTTGTGTTGGTGTGGGAATTGTGGGTGTGGTGTCTCCTTGGTCAACGTGGTGGCAGTTCTTAAGGCAGATTTGGGATTGTCACTGTTACAAATCTTGATTCTTACCCATGCAAAAACCGAAGTTTCAGTGCTTGGCAGTGTTTTTCTTTTCTGTCGTGGTGATACCGCTGGTGCAGCCAACGAGAAAACCCCAAAAAATAAATACAAGAGCTGTAGCTCAGCAGTGCATGATATATAGAAACTCATCAAGAATGAATACGAAAGTAATTTCTTTCATGGCTTTACTACTAAAATCAAAATAAAGGGTTTGAAGCCATGACACATTTGATTTTAATAGAGAATGATACGAGATCCCTGGGGGTACGAGGTCCTTAACACCCACAAAGTTCATCTTTGATGAAAGAAAAAAAGAAGAGAGATTCATTGAGTGATGACCTCGTGAGCAAGCACTCTCTACCTAATCAAATGTTCAATTCTTAAATCAGATTGTGCAACGTGATGTATTTTATAAAATTTTCTAATTGAAACGAACTTGTTTTTAACCAAACCAGAAGGATTAACGTGAGATTAACCAAAAGTGAAGGGATGTATCAAAAATCACCTGAACAAGCCTACATACCAGCTAATGACCGATGGCCAAAAATGAATAAAAGCTATGTTCGCTAGTCTACATTCAGGTTCCATTTTCTGCTGAATCGATGAAATAAGAACCCCGAACTTTGCAATGCCAAGAAAACCATATTTATTACACAAAAATTTGGACTATTTCTCCAAAAACAGCTAAGTCGAACATCCTATGAAGAAGGGGAAAAAAACGGCGGAAGCGCAAAAAAGGACTTTCCGGCAAAACCTGTCTTCAAATTTCTGACAGAACCATCAGTTAAACTGCAACCTCTGCTAAGAATACAGCGATGATTAAACTGTGCACCTCTGTAAAATAAAATAAAAAACCCCTTTATCTTGTCAATCTTGTCTTAAGAGATGGATCTTTGTTTAGGTATATACTTTAACTTGACACCCTTATCAGGCTTTGTTTTACACTTGGCTTTACCAGCTCCAGCAGTTGATGACTCTTGTGCCTCCACATCAACCAACTGATTTTCTGCACTGCCATTGACGTCTTGCTTTCTAATATCCAATGAATGATTTGCAGCAACTTGATAGTCTGGGGAAAGAGCCAATTGCACATGTTCAGCAGCAATGGCCCGCTTCCACCCTACATGATAATATAGTCAATCAGACAAGCGTGAGAAGAGCCAAGCAACTTAAACTATGAACATATAAGAGCAGAGTCATAGCATGTTATGGTCGGAAAAGGACCATAACACGTGCAACTGCAAACAAAGTTGAACTTACTCTCCGCAAGAAAAGCCTTTGCTTCAAGGCTTGAGAACTGCAAGCCTCCTCGGTGAAGATCCCCCAGTGGAGAACCATTCTCCGTCCCACCAAAGCTATGATCCATGGCACATGATCTTAGAGAGCTGTTATTGAACAAGATCTGATCCTCAGCCTTACCATCAATGCCATCAGGTTGGCATTTTCTATTGCCACTATCAACTAGTATTAGACCTTCTGTTCCATTTCGACTAACAGGCCTCCAAAGCTTTACTGTTGGCCGATTCATGCCACATTGAACAGAATCAGGTCTGTTGTGCTTCTCCTGCACATTTTTCTTCTTTGAAATTTCATGCTCTATAAGGCAATCGTCCTGGGCTCCATCCAAGTTGTTACTTTCATCATGGCTACAATTTCCAAGAGTGACAGATATAGAGCCAATCAGAACCTCCCCCTTCTTCTCATGCTCGGGTTCAGTTATTACTTCCTTTTTTACTCTAGCTTTAAGACTCTCCCCATTATATTCTGGTTTAGGTTTTTGGCTCCACTTTCTATTGCCATTGACCATGGGCCCAGGCTTAAAATCCCTTTGAATTCCATGCTTCTCCATGGCACCATGTTTTGGAGCTTGAGAGTTTTGACTTGCAGGGAAAACATTTGGCAGACTATTCCGTTGTGATCTTGAAGGAGCATGCCATCGAGTAACAACCATATGCCTATGACTATTTCCTAGTAACTTTGACCGTTCGCCACCATGCACTATCTGATTTTCCAAATCAACGTCTTCATCTGTTCTTGGTAGTAGCAAGGGTTCAAGTGATGAGGGAACATCATCTGGCAGGGTCTCTGAACCAAGCATATCAGAATCAGATATAGCCATGGGGCAAGATTGTTCAGCTTGAGGCACAGCCTCCCGAGTGTCATCAAGACACTCCTTAAAATCGACCTTCTTGTCTTGCCTTTCCTCCTTTGCTTTCTGTTCTTTGTGCCTCAGTTTTTTCTGCCTCTTCCTTTCCAAGAGTTCAGCCAGCCTACAAATTTAGGAATTAAAATACGTCCATGCAATTCATGAGTCAAGTTTTTGAACCCCCACAGAACAACACACAGAAAAAGTCAAGTTTTTGGCAACATGGGAAATTTATAATTCTAATATATTGAGGTGGCCCTTCCGAAGTTGTCAAGAAGTAACGATGAAGAAATTAGGCGAGGTAATGTCTGAGCTATGATGGTTGAATATCTGAATCTTAAACTTGTCCCTTAACAGTTCAATGAAAAGTCCAGTTTTCAGAATATAGGTTTGAGAGCTCAATAGAGCAGCGGATCCCAGCAAAGAAAAATAATTATGAAACATGAGCTCTTATCATATCTGATTCTACTTTATGTGCTGTATTTTTTACACTGGTGCAGTTCAATATTCTTTTACTTGTAATAATTAATCATGTTTCCAATGTTATGCCAATGCGTAGAGTCCATGTAATTTCCATGAAGAATAAACTACAAGTAGCTCCAACCATAAATGCCAGTTTAATTGAGAATAGGTCTGCAAACTCTCAAATAATCAAAACTATAGAATGATCATTAGGAAAGATTCATTGATTCAAATGATAAAAAAGATCTAACAAGAAAGCATGAAAGATACATCTCCTCATGAGCTTTTCTCTGATTATTTTAATTCTTGCCTTCTTAACTTTCTACTTCCTGATATCATCAATGGCTCCAACTTGGATATGATGGATTTTAATGACAATGAAAGTTAGACAAGTTCAAGAGCAAACTAAACTTGCAACAGAAGTAAGACGCAAAGAAGCATCACACATTCAATGTAGCAGTGTGGACATAAGGTGCACCTTCTGTGGGCGGCTTCCTCCTCCTCCACAAGCAACTTTTGGCACCTCAAAGCTTCTGCATCCTTGTCTGCAAGCCATGCTTTAATCTGAATACAGAGAATCACAAATGGCAAGAACAAAACAGACCAGCACATTATTCAGTGCAACAGTGTTTAAGGAACAGCTTTGGTGAATGCAACACCACGGCACTGGTATGCTTAATGATAATTGGAACTTTGGAAGTAAGTGAGCCCAAACAAATGAAAGGAAAGGAAAGGAAAGAAAGATACCAATTTCTGTTCCACCACAAAGCTTGTGCAAGCAACTATATTCTTTGTTTCAAGCCCAATCTTCCCAGCCCCACCATCAAAAATATATTTTTGTATTAATACAGCTGTTCCACACAATAACGTTTTCTCACTTGCATCATCAAGAATACTGAATAGCTGTCCAGAAGACAAAGGAAACCTGGAGGGCCTCCCTTGGACAAGATCCTATCAAGAATAAGGATACATTACATTTTTAGGATATGTAACATGGCAGATGAAAACCAAATAAAATCCAGAGGAAAAACAATGACAAGGAAAGGATGCCCCCTTACCAAAAGAGCAGAACCAGCTCTCCAACAAGATTGAGTAAGCGACGAAATCACTGGTTTCCGAATAACTGTCGTCAATGACTTTATAATCAAAGACCCTGGAACTTCCTAGTAAGTAATTAAGGAAAAGTGGAGAAAATGCTTACAAAATGATTATAGAATGACAATGAACATTTTATTGTAAAGGAAAAGGTAAAGATTCCTACTCCAGATGCTTATTGGTCAACATATAAAAATATGAGACAAATAAAGACAGTCAGATGCTAATATCAATAATTCAACTGGAATCCAAATTCACTATCATTTCTGCTATCTACATTAAAACATCCAACAAAATTGAAGAAACTAATCTCGACAAAGTAAAAGGGGAGAAAGGTTTTTAAATTTGTTTTTGGCAGCATAAGAAATTTTCACAGAAACATTTTTGAATGACATCTGAGCATTTTGCAACATCAAATAACTAAAATTGGGAACTAGCCACCCTCTGTGTGGTATCAATCACACCAAGCATATCAAACAGACAAATGTACAGTGCATGTTTCAAACAGAATATAGCATGCTGCCAACATCAGATACACAAGCTAAACCTATTATTGAAAGCACAGATAAAGAATCTTCATAGACAACTCATGTTTAATTATTTATAAAACTGTAAAACATATCCACTTAAACAGAGATGAGGAACCACTAGAATACCTCCAAAGTCACATCCTTGAATGATAATATTTCCTTTGCCTCATCCTCAGAAAGCTGAAGAAATTAGAACATTTAAAATTCTGTTAAAAGAGATGGGTTCAGCCAAAACTTCCTAAGGAGGAGAGAGATACTTCACCTTATCCCAAAATGCTCCTAACATGTCCCTGTTTTTGGCAGAATCCTACAAGGTGAAGTGCACCATATTTCAGAGGAATTTATAGGATTTAAATTAACAAGAGAATAGTTATAAAAGAAACTATTCAATGTGAAAAATCAACATAGTCAGTACTGAACATCAAGCAGACACATAACTACAAGGAACACCAGATTCTCAAGTTCCACAATGTAAAAAAAAAAGTTAAAGCAGCCCTGCACAAACAAAAGAACGAGCATTTCTGCCAGAGAAATGAATTAAACCTTATCAAGTCTCTTCAACCTATGGTGAACACGCAAGTGTCTTCTATAGTTAATGGAAGAACAAAATTCTCGGGAACACTTGCTGCATTTTTGCATCTGTACCTTCAAAGGAGTGAGCAACGGCCAACCTGGGTAATCTGCAAAAAAGAAAGCCAAGGAAATCAATTGCATGGCTTCAATGTCACATAAGGTCATATGCCAACCTCAACCCAAAAACCCAGCAACTGAATGAAGAGGCATTCTTTTTCACTTACAATTCATTTAGACATAATTTAGTACCTGGCTGATCGAGAGCAT